CCTTTAATTAATTATAAACAAGCTCATGAAGGTGATATATTTATGAGTTTACCTCTAATTATTTTAGCTATTTTTTCTATATTCTTTGGTTATATTACTAAAGATATTTTCATAGGATTAGGTTCTGGATTTTTTGTAGATAACAGTTTATTTATTCATCCTTCACATGAAATTATGCTAGAAACTGAATTTGCTGTACCTATTATATTTAAATTATTACCCTTAATTTTTACTATTTCATTAAGTATAATATCTATAGTTTTATCTGAATGATTACCTAAAATACTTATATTTTTTAAATTTTCTAGTTTTGGATATAATATATTTAGTTTTTTTAATCAACGTTTCTTAATTGAACTTTTTTATAACAAATATGTTACAGGACTTATTTTAAAATTAGGAGGTCAAACAACTAAAGTTATAGATAAAGGTTCTGTTGAATTATTAGGCCCTTATGGTTTAGAAAAAGGATTAATTAATTTAAGTAAAAATATAGCTAATTTAGATACAGGTGTTATAACATCTTATGCTTTATATATATTAGTGGGGCTAATTTTCTATATATTAATACCATACTTTTCTTTAGCTAGCAGTAGTATGTTATTATTAATTTTATTTAGTTTCTTTAGCATAACTAAAGATAAATTTATAAATAATATACCTAAACCCCATACATATGTATCATTGCCAGTACAAAGTAGTTTTGATATAAACATCTTATTTAAAATTATTATAAATAAAGTTTTTACTAAAAAAAATATAATTAGAATTATATTTATTTCTTTATTATTTTTTTATGTAAGATATCTTTTATCTTATTTTGGTCTTAATCCTAATATTTCATTTCTTTTATTTTATTTAATCAAAGGTATTAAATTTATAATAGACTCTTTTGGGGGTGATTCTGATTCACTTATGATTTTAAATGATAAGCTATATGGTGAAAACATACTTAATAAAAATAATAGTGACAAAGAACTTAAAAATCTTCATATTAATTTAATGGACAAAGAAAAAATAGAACAATTTCAAAGTGTGCCTACTGTGGGTCAAGCTAATCCTGATAATAGATGAAATCAATGACAACCCGGTGATAAACCTATACCAGGCTCTGTTACATCAGATGTAGAAGATATGGCTTTTACACAAGCTGAAAGATTAGAATGATTAAGATTTTTTCAGGAGAAACGTAGACAACTTTATGAAGAGGAATCAACACTAAAAGAGGTTAATCTAGATTTGCTTGATAAAAAATCAAATATAGCAAAGCATAAACTAAAAGAGCTTGCTGACGCTGAACGTGGTTTAGAGCAATGACAAAAACACGGTGATGCTTTTTGACAACCAAGTCCTTCATATTCTGTTCGTACTTCTCAACAAAATTGCGTTAAACAACTAATTAATATTAACGGTGGTTTAGGTAGAGAACTTAATGCTGAAAATTTACTAGCTACGGCACGTATGCGTGATACTTACTTGCGTCTTAATAAAAAATGAAGTGAAACCTTTGATGGTTTTCATAAAGATCAATTGAATAGACCTTATTTTCCTGAAAATAAACCTGAATCACCTGGATAATACTTTAGTCTAAATTATATAGATAATAGTGTAAATAAACAAGTAATAATATATACTAATAATATATTTTTACTTGTGTTAAAAAACTTTAATTATATTTATAGATAAGTTAACATAGAATTAAATTAACTATTAATATATAAATTAATATGATATATATAGATATATATATATTGATTATTAGCTTTGTTTTTTTGTTTTTTTTTTGAAAAAAAAAAAAAAGAGTAAAAACTTTGTTTTTTACTTTGTTTTTTACAAAGTAAAAGAATATGTAGCATGTGGTAATGCATTTTGATTGCAGATCTTAAAAAAGGGGTTCGAATCCTCCATATTCTTATTTAAATAATTATATATTACTATACAATAAAATACCTTATATTGTATCTTTTTTTTAAGAATATTTTTATATAATATTATATATATTTATATATTTTTAATTGCTAGTTAATTAGTAAATTTTAATTTATATTAAAAAGAGACTTTAGTTTAATAGGTAAAATCTGTGACTTTTAATCACCAGTAAATGAGTTCAAATCTCATAAGTCTTAGCAAATATATATGTATATAACGGCTATAGGTTAATGGTAGACCGTTCGTCTTCCAAACGATGTGTGTCGATTCGATTTCGACTAGCCGTAATAAAAGAAAAAGTATAATATTTAATTTAATATAAATTTTAAATAAAAAGTTATAAAGTTTATAATTTATAGCTTATTGTATAAAAATATAGGGTTAGTAACTTAATTGGTAAAGGACTTTCTTGTCGAGGAAGTAGATGTCGGATCGTCACCGGCCTAGCTCGCCATTTATTATTAAAGGAAATGTTGCTACAGGTATAGTAAGATATTTGCTAAATATTGTGTATATTATACACTTAGATGTTCGAATCATCTCTTTTCCGATTATTAATTTATGTTATAAAAAATTATAATTATAATTTTAATTTATTTTATTTTGTTTTATATATTCACATATATAATAAATATTTATTAAGTCTAAATTAAATAATATTTATTCTAATAATATAGGAAAAATACAAAAATAATAAGCTAATTACAATATATTAGTTAAATTATGTAATATATTTTTAATTTATAATATATTAAATATAAAGAGCATAATTTAATAGGCAAAATAGGAAGCTTCAAACTTTAATTTCTCAGTTCAAATCTGAGTGCTCTTGTTTTGTTTTAAAAGTAATTAAAAATACATAGTATTAAATCATATTTTATTCTTTTTTTTTTTGTAATGTAAATTACATATATACTTATATATTAAGGTTCTTTAACTTAATTGGTAAAGTGCGTTTTTGATAAGGACGTCATTCAAGTTCAAATCTTGAAGGAACTATATATAATTAAAGTAGTAAAATAAAAAGCATAAACACAATAAAAACTTTTATTTTTAATTATAATTATATATAATTATATATAAGAGAATTGACTGAGTGGTTTAAGGTGATAAGCTTGAAACTTATTTGATCAATAAAGATCACATCCGTTCGAATCGGATATTTTCTGTATTATACGGGTTAGAGCCAGGTTGGTTAGGCGTCTCATTTGGGTTGAGAAATAGTTATGTTCGAATCATAATAATCCGATATATAATAAGTATATATAAGTCTGAATTATAATAGTAATGTATTGTGCATAGATATGGAATGTATTAATTCTACATTAAAAAACAATGTAGATAAGTATACAAAGAAACTATTAAGGATAACTAGCTATATATCAAAGAGAGATTATTAAATTTGTGTTTTAAAATTTAAATAACACATGTACTCTTAGAGAAATTAAGTAATAAACGAAGTGAATTGA